CTTGTTAATATAATTAATATATATTTTATTAACTTTAACTTAATATTTTCTCTATTATACTTTTTAACTCTCTTTTACTACTTATATCAAATTCTTCTATTATACAATCTGACTTTTTTCTTTTTACTATTCTTGAAATATATTCCAAATTAGTATATTATAATATTAAAATTTTACTTAATAAGCAAATTATTTGTTTTTTCTAATTTCTCTAACAATCTTCTAAACTAGTTTTATCAAAAATATAGTTTTTTGAACTTCTTCTAGCATTAATAGGAATTAGCTTATAATATTACACAAAAAGTTAAACATATCAAAATAGCTTTACTACTAACTCACAATTAAACAAATACAAAAAATTTACTCTTTATTAGCACATACAATACTATTAAAAAATAGTATTTACAATGATTTTTTTTGCTAATATATTTCTTATAATATTATGATTATAACTATAAAGTTTTCTTTAACCAGAATATTTTTATTTATTTAAACTAGTGCTCACCAAAATCAAATAAAAATTTGACAATTAAATAATTAATATTTGGCAATCATAATTTTTAAATCAGATAATACATAATCTCCAATCTAATTTAAACTTTGTATATGATTATTAATTTATAGCTTAGATCTTATTTTATTAAATAAGGTGTGAAGATATTTTTTTTTTGTATCTGGCTTTGGTGTTTCTTGAATGTCATAACTAATATTCTTTTTTCTCTTCTAAGCATCTATTGGTGGTGTTCTTAAAACTTCTTTTTTTAGTACTTGGTATATCTAGAACATATTATTTATTTTATTTTCTTGTAAATGCATTACTCTTGGTATATTCTAGAAATGTATTTATTGTTCTTATAGGCATATTATCTTTTTTTTTTTCTTCCTGTTTTTTTTTTAGAAAGCTATAAATTTTTTTTTATTTAAATATAAGTTTCTTAAATGTCATAACTAACATTCTTTTCTCTTCCAGGCACCTATTAGTGATTTTCTTAGAACTTTTTTTTTCAGTACTTTGTATATCTGAAACATATTATTCATTTTATTTTCTTGTGAATGTATTACTCTTGGTATATTCTAGAAATGTATTTATTGTTTTGTGTTCTTGTGGGTGTATTATCTTTTTTTTTTCTTCCTATTTTTTTTAAAAAAGTATAATTTTTTTTTTATTTAAATATGAGTTTATTTAATGTCATAACTAACATTCTTTTCTCTTCCAGTCACCTATTGGTAGTGTCTGTGGAACTTCTTCTTTCATTTCTTGGTATATCCAGAACATATTATTTATTTTATTTTCTTGTAAATATATTACTTTTGGTATATTCTAGAAATATATTTATTATTCTGCATTCTTGTGAATATATTATCTTTTTTTTTCTTCCTATTTTTTTTTTAGAGAAGTATAATTTTTTTTTTTATTTAAACATGAATTTCTTGAATGTCATAACTAACATTCTTTTCTCTTCCAGGCACCTATTGGTGGTGTTCTTGGAATTTTTTCTTTCAGTTCTTGGTATATCTAGAACTTATTATTTGTTTTATTTTCTTGTGAATGAATGCATATTCTGAAAACATATTTATTGTTCTGCATTTTTGTAGGCACATTAACTTTTTTTTTCTTCCTATTTTTTTTTAGAGGAGTATAATTTTTTTTACTTAAATATGAATTTCTTAAATATTATAACCAATATTCTTTTTTTTTTCTGGGCACCTATTAGTGGTGTTCTTGAAACTTCTTTTTTCAGATCTTAGTATATCTAGAATATATTATTTATTTTATTTTTTTGTGAATGCATTACTCTTAGTATATTCTAGAAACATATTTATTATTTTGCATTCTTGTAGGTGCATTATCTTTTTTTTTCTTTCTATTTTTTTTTAGGGAAGTATAAAATTTTTTTATTTAAATATGAATTTCTTAAATTTTATAACTAATGTTCTTTTCTCTTTTGAGCACCTATTGGTGGTGTTCTTGAAACTTCTTTTTTCAGTACTTGGTATATCTGGAATGTATTATTCATTATATTTTCTTGTAGATACATTACTCTTGGTATATTCTGGAAACATATTTATTATTCTGTGTTCTTGTAGATGCATTATCTTTTTTTCTCTTCCTATTTTTGTTAGAAAAGTACAATTTTTTTTTATTTAAATATTAATTTCTTAAATGTCTAATTAACGTTCTTTTTCTCTTCCAGGCACCTATTAGTGGTGTTTTTGAAACTCTTTTTTTCAGTACTTGGTATATTTAAAATATATATTTATTTCATTTTCTTGTGAATGCATTACTCTTAGTATATTCTGGAAACATATTTATTGTTCTGTGTTTTTGTGGCTGCATTATCTTTTTTTTTCTTTCTATTTTTTTTAGAGAAGTATAATTTTTTTTTTATTTAAAGATGAAATTCTTGAATATTATAACTAATGTTTTTTTCTCTTTTAGCACCTATTGGTTATATTCTTAGAACTTCTTTTTTCAGTATTTGGTATATCTGGAAAATATATTTGTTTTATTTTCTTGTAAATGCATATTCTGGAAACATATTTATTGTTCTGTGTTTTTGTAAGTGCATTATTTTTTTTTTCCCAATTTTTTTTTTAGAGAAGTATAATTTTTCAATAGAACTAAGTCGTACAAGTGGTGATCAATACCAGTTTCAAAATTGGGGTAGTTAGCTCAGAGTGCATATGAACACGTGCTCAATACACTACCAATCATCTTACATTATATGGATTGGAGCTTCACTTATTTTTAATTAAAATTTAAAACTTTAATATGCAAAGCATGAAACTCTGACCCCAATTGTAGTCAAAAATTATGTTATAAATTGTCATCTATAAAAGGGGTAATTCTTTTGTTTTGATACAACTCTTTTCTCTACTATTTTTCATTATCTAAGCTATTAGAAAAAAGTGATAACATATACTCACCACATTCACTATACTTATTATGTATCTACATTTCTCTTACATTTTAATACATACAGTTTTATTTTGTTTTGACCTTGCTCTTAGCTTTTGTTAGTATGTCTTATTGTCAATAAACTTTTATTTTTTTTTTTTATTTTTTTTTTTTTTTACTTAGATAACTTTGTAAAAATTTATTAAAGTATATAAGCTTAGACTAGCTAGACTATCTAAAATCACATTCAGCTAATATCTGGCTGCAATAAAAGTGCCCAAGTATGGTTATCACACTAATATTTGCCAACACATCCCACATGTACTGCTACATGTATTTAAAAACTTGCTACAACATAGTACTCAGCTATCTTTGGTCTTCAACTTTTTCCATCTAGGTTTGGGCAGAATAGTTTATCTCTTACATTTTCATAAGGGAAAAAAATATATGCCAAATTTATAAAAGAAATTACAGATATAAAACTAACAAAAAAGAAAAAAGAAACAAATTTTCTAACTTGATTTCGATTATAAATAAACAGAGATGAAACTAGCAAAAGCTAAACTAGTTACAAATAAACTAAAAAGAAAAGAAACAAAAAAGAAAAGTAAAATATACACTATTTTTTTTTTTTTAGCGATCATGTCATATTTATTTAGAATTAAAGTAGTTATATTATCAAATACTAATACTACTTCTGGAATTAAATACCTTATAATTAAAATACAACTCATCTAGTTACTGTGGATATTTATCCTTAATCTGCCCAAAACAAGAGTTTGTCTTCCCACTGTATTAGGATTGCTTACTGAAGGGGTTTACTGACTGGATCTTGCAGCCAATCATAATCGCATCCTCCTTCTTTTACAATTTTTTCTACCTAGATCTAGGTGGAAGAGTAAAACCATTACTTTTATCCAAGAAAAGAACTCACTAGCTACAATTACAAAAGAAATTTAAAAAGCTCAAAGCTAGTCTAGGAAAAGAGAGATAAAAGAAAACAAAAACAAAAGAAAAAAAAACAAAAGATGAAAAAAAAAGAAAACAGAAAGTAGAATCTAAACTCTATTCTATTATACTAGAAAAAGATGAAAAAAACATAAAAGAAAAAAAAATAAACACAATCTAATTAGTACTATTATAACCTGTGCTAGGCTTAAAAATTTTATACCAAATGCAACATTTTTATATCTCTACTATAAAGCTATGCCTTAACAGAAAATTTCTTCCTAACTATCTGAATATTCGTGTATATCTTATTAGATAAAAACCTTGTCATGTGAAGTAGTGCTATTGTGGTGCTACGCAGTACTTATATAATTAGTGATCAGGTATGTGTTAATTGAATATTGTGATCAGGGCTTGCATAAATGGCGTGATCACAATTTAATTAAAAGTCTAAAATAGTGATTGTATAAACAATATAGTTATTAGCGATTAGTAATATTAGTGATTGTATGAACAATGTAGTAATCATTAGCGATTAGTAATAAATATAAGGCATTGATCCAAATGGGAAAATGCCTGACTTTGGAATTTGTAACTTTAGTTCTTGTGAAATACCTTTGATTCTTAGTAAATAAACTGTGTTATCTGTATGATTATATTATTGGTAGTAGTATCTGGTACAATATTCCAGTTATTATATATAGTAGCCAAATGAGTAAAGACCAATAGTAAAGATCAAGTAGTTCATAGAGTGTTGATAAACTCCGTGACATAAAGGATCTGGGTAGAAAGCAATACCCTCGTAGAACTGTGTAGATATCAAGATGCAAGTCTTAGTAAAAATACTGAGCAAAACGGTCATTGAGAACCAAGAAAGTAAAAGTTGTATTTCAAGTATAAGTTGAGAAATGAATATCGAATAAGATGAAACAATTACAAAAAAGTAAAGAAAATGAAAAATGAAAATCATTTGGTGCCTTTAATTAAGAAGATAATTGAGTTAGTAATGAAAGAAGTTATAAATAACTTAAAAACAGTGCAAGTAAAATATTGAAGACCTTGGTTGTGTTATAACTGTCAGGAACCAGGTCACCTTGCTAGGTATTGTACACAAAAATGTTGAGTTGGTAATGGTTACGCCAATGAGAGGTAGATGGATGTTAAAATTAATGAAGAAGAAATTAAACACATGAAGAAAAAGAGTAAAATTGGTGATGGCATAAGAGGAACATTTGTGAAAATAAATAAAAAAGTGGCAGAAGTATCAATTAGATTTAGTTCAAGTGTGAACAAGATGAGTATTAAATATATAAGGAAAGAGGCCTTACCTAGAAATATATCAATGAGAATGACTGTATTGATCAAAAGTTTGTTGGATATATCTCTGATATTAAAGTTGATATATATAGTGTTAGTGTATATCAAATATTTTATATTGTATATACTTTGACTCCTAATATAATTCTTGGAATGCTGTGGGTCATGAAATCTAGCTGTAATATTCAATAGAAAAATAGTCAGTGCTATTATACAATTAAGTCAGGCCTTAAAAAAGCAATATTCATGATAGAGGATCAACTTGCAAAAGGTATAAAGGTAGTTAACAAATATAATAATAGAATAGAACATGATTTAGTGGATATTAGGTATATCAAAGATGAATTGATGAAAAGTAATGATATCGATAGTAAGAAGAAAAATAATATCATTAATAAGTTGAATAAAAGGATGTCAATTCAAATGAAAGACATAGATTCTAAGAACCTACCAGTAAAGCCCAATAGTAACAAGGATGAATCGAATGAATCAAAAGCTATTAGAGCTGATGATGAAAAGAATAAACATAAAATATTCATTCCTTGTTAAAGATCAGCTAATATGGATGATGCTGATGAAGCATCTACAACCAAATGTTGCTATCATCATAAAGTTGGATTTGAAAAGAATGAACATTGTGCATTCATTTATCTGAAATCTGCAAAGTTAGATGATACAAATAAAAATAATATTAAAAAGGATATGTATGAAGCATTCATTGGTCATAAAGAGTTGGATGATGCCAATCGAACAGGGATTAAAGATAAAAAAGTTGATTATAAAAAGGATGAACATATGATGTTTATTGATTACCAAAAATCTGAAGATATAAACAATGCTGAAGAAATGATTAATGTTAAGAAACAAAATCAAAATAAAGAGATAATGGTGTTGATGAAAGCACCACTGGATGTGGTTGCAAAAATGGATACATTGATGGAAGGTTTAGTAAAAATGATGAGAAATTGGAAAAAATTTAATGATGCCAATAAGTTCAATGTTAATGATAATAGAGGTGAAGCTGCAGATAGTAGAGTGAATAAACCTGAAAATTACCAACATGGGATTAAAAATGAAAAGGATAGCAAAAGGTATCTGTTCATTGCCAAAGCTTGGAGAAATGAGTTATAGTAGTGAAGCATGAGACCACAAGTGTTATGACAAAAATAAAAGATGTATAAAATTAGAAGAAGTATATGTAAATCAGCTAAGCCTATACGAATGATAAATGGTATATTCAGAGCTAGAGGTCCTGTGAACAATCTAACAAGATTGTGTGATTTGAGTAATTGAAGGGCCAATAATATGTATTTAAGGTTTGGAAGTTCAATTGAAGATATTTTACAGAATATAAATATTTAAAATCGATGTAAAAGTACAAAAGCTAAAATATTGAATGCTCAGAAGCTTGATGGTTATAAGAACCTTGAGTAAGGTGTTGGATGGAGTAAATAGGACACTATATGCTGTGGCAAAGTGAAGAGTCAAGAATTGATAAAATTGATGGGCCAACAAAGTCTAAGGTGTGATATGAAAGAAATCGATTTTTATGAGCAATTGTACTTGGATCAAATTGCTAGGTGTAATTCAAAGGAATTAGTTAGTGCAGTATTTGGTAGTCATTTTAAAATAAGAAAACTTAGTAGAATAGATGTAACTTCAAGAATAAAGTTACTGGGGTTCTAGCTTGTATTGCGGTGCTACACGGTACCTATATGATTAGTGATCGGATACATGTTGATTGAATATCTTGATTGGGGCTTGCATGAATGATGTGATCACGATTTAATTAAAAGTCTAAAATAGTGATTGCATAAACAATATAGTAATTAGAGATTAGTAATATTAGTGATTGCATGAACAATGTAGTAATCATTAGCAATTAGTAATAAATATAGATACTGATCCAAATGGAGAAATGCCTAACTTTAAAATTTGTAACTTTGGTTCTTGTAAAATAGCTTCGATTCTTAGTGAATAAACTGTGTTATCTGTGTGATTACATTATTGGTGGTAGTATCTGGTATGATACATCAGTTATCATATATAGTAGCCAAGTGAGTGAAGACTAATAGTAAAGATCAAGTAGTTTATGGAGTGTTGATAAACTCTGTGACAGCGCTATATTCATTGGTAAACAAAACACGTGGTTGCAATCTACTGTGATATCCTAATTTGTATAAAGTAAACAATGCTAATCTTTTGACAGGGATAAGCTGTTTTGCTCACTTTTTGTAAAAATTTTGTTGAAAAAATAAGTGGGTGATGGTATGAAGTATAGCCCTTGTATTCTTCTTAAAGAAGTGTATATTTTTTTCCAAAGCTAATAAAACTTATAGAGCCAAGTATACTGCTGGTTTTCTTGTCAGTAGGTAATAAACCCTGAACTTGTTAGCAAATAGCATATGAGAACTACTTCTAAATAACAAGTGCTATCTCTACAGTGAGTGATAAGCTCTGGGCCTGTTAGCAGATAGTAACAAGTGCCAGTTTATAGTTTTGACTAGTCTTATTTCCTTCTTTTCTACTATAGTTTACTGTTTTTTTGAAAAAAATATTGTTGTAATTTTGGTACAAGAGAACATTAGAAAGAGTTGTTAGAAAAATATACACTATTAAGCCTATATACAAGACTAAAAAATTATATACTAAATATAACACTTGTATATCTCTGTTGTAAATCTTTGCCTTAATGTAAACTTCTTTTCAACATATGACCAACCTTAGTAATGATCAAGATCTATATACTAATCTTTTAAGGTAGCAATATAACTATACAACCAGCCTTAGTAATGATCAAGATCTATATACTAATCTTTTAAGATATCACTATAGCTATATATACAGACAAACAAAATATGTGGTTGCAATTTACCGACTCATCCAAATTTGGAAGGAGTAAATAATGCCAATTTTTTGACAAGAGTAAGCTGTTTTGCCCACTTTTTATGAAAATTTTGTAGAAAAAGCAAGTGGGTGATAGTGTAGAGTATAGCCCTCGTATTTTTCTTTAAAAAACGTATATTCTTTTCCAAAAGTAGTAGAACATATAGAGCCAGGTTAACTGCTAACTTTCTTGTCAGTAGGTGATAAACTCTGAACTTGTTAGCAAGTAGCATATAAGAATTACTTCTAAATAACAAGTGCTGTCCTCATGGTTAGCAGATAGCATATGAGAACTATATCTAAATAACAGATACCAGTTTATAGTTTTTATCAGTCTTTTGCCACTTTTTACTATTATAGTTTACTGTTTTTTAGAAAAAAGATTTGTTGTTTTTTTGGTATGAGGGATTATTGGAAAGAGTTCTATAAACTTTTATTGTATTTAGTTTGATTTTATAAATATCTTACTAATTTTAGATGTTGATACATATTCTGAATGTTCTGAATATGATAACTTCAAAATTCACTTTAACAATAAAAGTAATGAATCATCATTATCTAAAACAAATGATCCAGATGTAATTAAAGTTGCAGAAAATGATAGTGAAGATAGTGAAAAACCTATATATCCTATTTCAGTTGGGATGACATTTAAGAATTAGGATGAATTAAATCAGTAAAGAGTTGTTTTTAATTCTTTTATATTGCAGATTAGATTACATTGCATATTTTTAATTTTTATTATCATTATTTAGATAATTTGATAATTATAGTTTAGAGCATAGCTTTGCATTTACGATTTCTCATAGTAAGAATAATAAGATAGATGGGATATCTCAAAGTCACACCAATAAGTATATAAAGAGTTAGCAATATAATTTACAAAAGAAAGCACATACTATTGAAGAATGTAATTGGGATTATTATACAGGAAACTGCAGATTTTATATTAATGCATATCAACATAAAGAGGATAATGAAATTTATATATCAAAGCTTGTTAGTCAAAATAATTATCCACTCACCAAAAATATTGAAATGCTTGCATCACACTATCGAAAACTTATGCCTGAAATGAATAAGGATATTAAGCTATTTACAAGTTGTAGAGTACATACTAGTGCAATTATTGAAATTCTGCAAAAAAAAACCCAAAGAAGTATATTCATGTTCATAATGTATACAATATAATTTGGGCAACTAGAAATCAAGAAAAATCAATAAGTGATACTAAAGCATTATATCATGACTTAATAAAACAGCAACAATTAGATCCTATATTCTATATTAATACACATTTCAAAAGTCAAGATAACTATTTGACAAAGCTCTTTTGGATAAGTTCTGAACAACAGCAGTTGTGAACATAGTTTTATAACATTGCTTTGCTTGATTCCATGATAAAAAAAATCATTATTCTATGATATTATATGTTATAATTGTAATAGATGATTATAATCGCTCCTGTCTAACTGCTATAGTCTCAGATAAGACTAAAGATACTTATATGTGGCTATTTGCAAGTATACTTAAAGCAACTGGTGGGTTGGTGCCACGTTTGTTTACTGATTCTGATTCTGCAATAGTTGTAGTGACAAGCAGTTCTTGGCTAACCACCAAGCATCACTTTTGCTTGTTCCACATTAGAAAAAATTTGGAAAAACACTTTCTTGGCAAATACTAAGATAGCTAGAAAGAGATTTTTGAAGATTTCTGCTATGCAAGGAATAGTCACATTAAATCAGTTTTTGAAGAAAGGTAAAATTTTTTTCTGAAAAAATATACTGATGCTTCTAGTTACTTGCAATCATAATTATATCAATGTAGAGAAGCCTGGGCATTGTGCTTTATCTATCACTCTTTTAATGCTGAAGTTCAAAGTACCCAGCATGTCAAATCTTACAATGCAATAATTAAAGCTCAAGTAAATAGAACATCAACACTTTTGGAGCTGAAACATAATATCAAAAAACTACTAGAAAAAAGAGTTACTTTATATGTTTTAATGAGTTCATTAGCCAATTACCTTTAAATAGAGAAGAAAGTTATTATAACAAATATTTCAGTAAAGTTAATATATCATACCAAAAATTCTTAACATCTGCAATTCTTAATCTTCAACAAAATGAAATCTAGCATTCATTATCAGTATTATATAACTGATTTGAATAATGAACTTGGATCATATATAAGAATAAGGTGCTTTTTTTAACAAATTATTATTAAACCTAAATGTAGATATATTTTATAGATTAGTGCTGAATCGCCAAGTGAAATTTTTTCAGATAATATGATCGACACAAATGTAATTAAATTAGAAGAACTGGTAGTTGGTATTGATTTTTCAAGAATTTGTAAAATCTGACATGTTTATACTATAGATAAAAAAAGTGTATATTTTGTTGTACTTTATAATAATAATGTCCATCTTTGCCCATGTCTTACCTTGATAAATTGTGGTCTTGTATATCACCATTTCTTTGCAGTAATGCTTGTTTCAAAGATTGAAAAATTTTATATCAAACTTATAGCACAATGCTAGTATCTTAATATATTAAATCAAAACTCGTTAATAATTGAGAATGAGCCAGCAATTACATTGGCTTTAGATAAGAAACTTAGTGCTTTTGAGCATGTTGTGCTAATTAATTTTTCTCATTTAGAAAATATTTATAAAAACTATATTTTTACCAAGCATGTTAGTCATGAAATAACATATAGACAACAGTAGGAAAAAGGCTATAGAATGATGAAAAAGGTGCTTAATTTAGTGATCATGACAAATCAATCTGAAGAGCTTTACGAATTACATAAAAAGTTTATTAAAAAAATAGAAGAAGAAGTTAAAAAGCAGGAAAATTAGACAAGAACAAAAGATAAATTTAAAAAGTTTATTCAATCTATAAATAACTCAATTAGTATCAAGACAAAGGGTATACAAAGTAAAAGAATCAAGGCATTCAATGATATATCAAACAAGATAAACAATAAAAATAAAAAATCGAAGAGACCTAGAATTGACCAAGCAAATAACAGTGATAATTTTTCTAGTTTTGGTAATGTATTTAGTATTAATACTTTTGTGATTATATACAATTGCATATTGTAATAATTTTTATTTTTATAGAATCCAGTATCAAGATAAAATCTGCTAATAATAAAGAGAATATTTTTGTAAACAAGTGACGATATAGAATTTGTGGTTTAAATAGTCATAACATATAGACATGTAAAAATTTTGAAGA